AACTGTGTTATCTTGCTTTTCTTCAGCCCTTGAGCCGAACATTTCCTCGCCATTGCCTGGTCGCTGTTGATCTGGCCGACAACGCCCCCAGGAATTGGGTAGCGAATTTTTTGATGTGTGGCAGAGGTGATGGCGTTGATTTTGCCGATCCATGGTCTGCCCAGGATGCCATTGTAGGGTGAGACTTCATCAATGACCATGAATGTTTGTGAGCTTATTACAGGTGGGGAGTAGACGTCAAGGTCTATCGTGCCCACGGTAACTGTTGTTGCACCATTAAAGCCAGTCAGCGATCTGGCTGATTTGTTGATCCTCGCTTCCAAGCCCATCTGTTGAATGACTGCCAGCTGCAAGATATTAGCTGCGCTGCCCTTGTCTGTATGGATTCGGTCGACCATGGCTTGAGTGATTTGAATGCTAATGATAAGGGCGTCGTTATGTGGCATGTCGAGACTGATTAGGTCTTTCTTCTGGAAGCTGATCACAGGGTCGTCTTCTGCTGGTAGAAGACCGGTCGTGATTTGGGAGATCATAGTGGCCTGGTTGATCTTCCTCTTCTTTTCTTTGCTTGTCAATCCAGACTCCTCAGAGTCGGCCAGGATTGTGTTAATTCTTATGACTTTCTGAGGTGGTTCCTTGGCGGTGTCACGATCTTCAATCTACTGGATGGCCTGCTTTGCAATGAATTCCGTGCAGTGACCTTCTCTCACGAGTTCTTCAAGATGCGTCTTCCAGGCAAAGCAATTGTTTGTAGTGTGCCCGTTCGTCCCATGGAAGGCACAGTATTTCCTGGTATCCCTCTTGTCTGGATCTCCTTTCAATGGTGGTGGTCTTTTTACCCAAGGTTTGTCTTTCACTTGGGCTAAGATTTGATGTATGGGGATGGAGAACTTTGTGTAGTTCTCTCCTGCCGGAGTGTCCTCTTGTGGGTGTGACCTGCGCATCGCTTCTTTGGCCTGCCCGTTTAGACGGCTGATCTTCCTGCTTAGTAGACTTCTTTGCGGCGATTCGATCATCATCCCAGAGCGCATAGCGTTCCGCGGTCGCGAAGACCTCTGCCAGAGTTGGCTGGGAGTGATAGTCAGCTCGCGGTATAAGTCGTGTTCAGCTGGAAGGCCTTTCTTGAAAGCAGAGGATGCAATTCGGTCGTCACACCCTACAATGTTGGCCTTCTCTGCTTTGAATCTCTTGATGTAGTCTCGAAGGGATTCGTCAGACTTCTTGCGTAGGTTGAACAGGTGATCCGGGTTCTTCTTAATCATCCGGTAAGAGGTGTACTCTTTGGTGAAGACGTAAGCCAGCTCCTTGAAGCTGCTGATTGACCCGGATGGTAGAGTGTGGAACCAGTCTTGGGCTGCTCCTCGCAAGGTCATTACAAACACCTTGCACATCAATGCGTCGTCGGTCTTGTGAAGGATCATGACACTTTTGAAGTATTTTAGGTGGCTTTCGGGATCGGAGTCCCCTTTGAAGTGGGTAAAAGAGGGCTTCGAGAATCGCTTCGGGGGAGCAGCCTGCTCAATCTCGGCAGTGAAAGGCGTAGAGTTTGCCTGGTCCATCTCCTTGCGTAGTGCATCTTCGAAGTTCCCGCCGGTCCTCAAGTCTCGACGTCGGTCATTCACAAGCTTCTCAATGTCTTCCGCACGCATTGCTAGTTGGTTACGTTGCCGACCCTCGCGATTTAGGCGACGCTGATCAACTTCCTAATTGACTCGCAAGGTTCGATTTTCTCGGCTGTGTTGCCTGGGCGGCATTTTGGTGGACTGCGCCTGCGAAGGGTTTTCTGTAACTTGTCGATGAGAACCGACTCTTCGAGACTGAGCAATGGAGCGCCTTTCCTCGTGATACACATTGCGAAGGTTATCAGGTTGACGTCCCTGGGAGCCTAGCCTTTCATGAATGTTCCTCTGTGAGTGGTCAGCGGAGCGCCTTTCTTCACGATCCACATTGCGATGGGTGTCAGGTTGACGTCCTTGGGAGCCTAACCTTTGAAGAACATTTCCCTGCGGGCCCAGTCGGGCGCGGATGTCAAGTTGTGGGCCCAACCTTTCACGCACGTTGCTCTGAGTGTGGCTTGCGGATGCTTGTGACATGTTGGTAAACTGATCACGTTGTTGTCCCTCTCCTTGCCTGCTTGCCCCTGCTCAACCTGCTTGGTACCCATCGAGCTGCCTATCGGCACGTTCGTCCATCCTTCTCTCTTCGCCCGGTTGTCCAAGGCCAAGGTTTTGAGCCAAGTTTATATGGTTGAGGAGCTGGTCAACTTTCTGAGCTAGCTGGTCAACTCTCTGATTAAGGTCTGCTTGACTTCGTGGATCGGGAGGAGAGAAGTGTGTGGAGCCCAACTACATACGGGCTAGGGTTTCATGGGAGGTGTGCGCGGGAGCGTGTGTCGAGCGTGGAGGCAATGGAGGGAAAGCTTGAAGTTGTTCCAAGATTGGGCCTAAGTCGACGGTGGTAATGAGCCCACCTTGATGGGAGGTTCCACCATGCTCGGCGGTGGTGCCATGAGGGTGGCTAGATCCGGCCACGGGGCTTTGGATGACGGCGGTGGCCGGAGCGGATTTTGCCATCGCGGCGGTTTTGCCTCTCGTCTTCTTGCTTCCAACCATGGTTGTTTGGAAGGCTTCGGTGGATTGGAAAAGTGTGGAAAATGGATTTAGAGCACTCTTTGAGTATAACTCGTGCTCTCAATGAAAGCACCAATTTGTGGGAGCAAATTTCCTCCCACGAGAATATTCGGTTGAAAGATTCCCCTTTCTTCTTTGCCGCCTCTTTCTCCCTGCAAAATAAATTGGATAAGAGGACCACACCCGGGGGGTGTTGGCCAAAGGCCCTCCGATGCCTAAGAGAGAGAGAGAGAGAGAGAGAGAGAGAGAGAGAGAGAGAGAGAGAGAGAGAGAGAGAGAGAGAGAGAGAGAGAGAGAGAGAGAGAGAGAGAGAGAGAGAGAGAGAGAGAGAGAGAGAGAGAGAGAGAGAGAGATAGAGAGAGAGAGAGGTTGCTAGGATTTGTGAAGGAAAGAGCTCTCTAGAGTTTGAGTAGAAATTCTGACGTACCTCATCCTTGTGCGTGGCCAAGTATTTATAGGGGGCCTTGACGAGGTTGGTGAGGTTGGTACATTTAGGGATTTGATTAACTAGGGAATTAATCAAATCCCTAATTGTGGTAGGTGAGGTTAGTGGGCTTGGTGTATTTAGGGATTTGATTAATTAGGAATTTAATCAAATCCCTAATGGTGGTAGGTAGGTTAATTTCCAAACTTATTTTGTTCCTCATTTAATTGGATAACCCCCAATTAAATTGAGTAACTCCCACTTAGGTTTAGAAATTCCCAATTAGGTCAAATAATCCCCAAATGGAATGAATTAGGGTTCTGATTTAATTTGGTTCCCACAGAATCCATAGGCGAATCCGATGTCGGTGAATTGTGGAGTGGCTTCTCGTTCAACACAACGGTCGAACCCGTTGGAATAATTCGGAATCTCGAACAATTCTTCACCACCTCCCAACATTGGTCATGGTTGAAAGTTTTTTTGCCTTGCCCAATAGCACCAAACCACATTTGTGCTTGCATAATCTATAAAAACAAAAAAAACAAAAACAAAATTGGAAATGCAAGAAACATTTACAAAATATTGAAAATGCATGAAACATTAAAAAAATATTGGTAATGTAAGAAATATTAACACAATATTGTTTATGCAAGAAATATTAACAAAATATTGGAAATGCAAGAAATATTAACAAAATATTGAAAATGCAAGAAACATTAACAAAAAAATATATTAGGAAATTAAAATTAATAAAACGAAAATTACAAATAATTTACCTTGTTGCTAAGATTTTCCCTGCTTCTATGATTGTCCCTCGCTTTTGCCAAGGTGTCTCTCCATTTCCCCAACTCTTTATTGAGAATTTTCCACCTACTAGACAATGTCATCTCCGTACAATTTGACCCCGATCTTTTCTCCACATATGACAGAATTTCATCTCATTGCCTGTGACGGGACAATGACTAATTTGGACCCAACACTCTCACAACAAAACATCTTCCATGGTGCTCCACACCCCTCCGGTTTCGATAGAAGAAGCCATAACATGATAAATAAAAATACAATTTGAAAGTGAATAAAATGTTGGGTAAAAAGTGAATAATAGTAGAAGTAGAAGAAAATGTATGAGGATTTGGTGTTGAAAGTGAAGAGTATTTGTAGGTATTTATAGAAGAAAAAAAAATCCAGAATTTTTTGGTATTTTTTTATAAAAAAATTTGAATTTTTTTTCATAATTTTATAGCAAAAAAAAAAAGCCAACTGTTGGATTGGAGGAGAGAAGGCAATCGGAGCGCCCAGACGACAACATCCGGGCAAAAGTGGCCCGCTAGAACTCGCTTTTTGGCTTGGGCTCCTCGCTGGAGTTGCTCTTAGAGCAAGTCCACCCATGAAGGCTAAAGCAAGGCAAAGGCAAGGCAAGGGCTGCCACTATTGACGTGAATAGTGGCAGCCTTGCCTTTTTTGGTTCCATCCCAAAAGGCTAGGGCAAGGGCAAGAAAAAAAAAAGATTATGCAACAAAATATAAACAATTTAGAAAGTGAATAAAATTGTTATGTATTTATGGGGAAAACATCCATAATTTTTTGGTTTTTTTTGAATTTTTTTGCTCGCTGACATCAGCGCCTTCGGGCTTGAGCCCAGGCAGGATTTGCCCGTGGGCTTGCCCAGGCTGATGGGTCCCATGCCTTGCCCGGGCTTGATCTCTTCCGCTGGAGTCGCATTGGGCTTGCCCAGGGGGCCTTTTGCCCGGTTTCGAGGGATGACTGGACTAGTGTTTATGGAATACATCCACCCGCTTTGCATTCTAGAAAATTCCACCAAGTACTTCATAAGCCTGAATAGCTACGAGATAACCCTAAACCCTAAGCCCTAAACGTTTTGTAGCGCCTTCACATTTCCATCCCTTACTCATCTTCTCTCATTTCTCTCTACCTCAATCTTCCTACTTCCCCACTCAAAGAGCGATGAAAAACTCATCTTAATCTACCAAATCTATGAGATAAAACTGGCAAACTACAGACTCAGAATTTAATCGCGAGTCGTGGTTCAATTGACGAAAAGTCGGATCAGTGTGATACGGAGGAAGAAAGGCAGAAGCTTTTGAAGAAAGATTTCACGGATCTACTTGCCCGTGGCCTTGATATTATTGCTTTTGGAGATGTGAGATTCATTACTCTGTCTTTATAACTTCTTTGGTTTTTCATTCGTTGATGCTTTCTTGTTGATTGATTTGAGGTACAATTTCAAATTTTCTATAATCTGTTTGGTCGGGTGAGTGAAAAAAATAAATAAAAAATCAAAATTTTGTCAATTAGAAATCACCTGCTTGAACGATAAAGGGGCAGCAAGTTCTGCTTGATTTATAATGACTTAAAACAAGCAGAACTTTATTTGCAAGCCATGCTGTATTGTGTTAATTAATTACTGCTTTTATGAGACCAACGACTTGCCAACTATTGCCGCAGCCAGGGGCAGATCCACGTTGGGGCAAAGGGGTCGCTTGGCCCCCTGTCAATTAGAAAACCCCATGACAGCCGCGGATCATGACTCCCTGGAGCCTTGGGTGGCAGGGCAGGAATGCCCATAAGGTGTTTGTCAAAATGCCTTGAGCCTTGGGTGGCTGGGCAGGAATGTAAGTTCTTTAAAGCTATAAAATCAAATATACTAACCTTGATTCTCAGCTGCCATTGTCCAGAATAGTCGTAGGAATTAGAAAGATCTTCTCCAAGAAGCCAACACTGTATGCTTATTCTGATGGGCTGAATATCTGATAGCTGAAACGTGTGTTGTTGGTTCTGGAGGGAGCTCTCTATTTATATGCATATATCTCTTAGAGTTTTGCCCATCAAGGAACTCTAGGAGATGTCCTTAATGCAGTAGATGTTGGAGTCTCAATCCTAATAGAGTTAGGAATCCCAAAAGCTTTAGAATTCTGTTTAACATATTATCAAAGCTGCTGGTCGAGTAAGTATATTGAGTTCTTGATTAACTTGGAGTCCTAGCAATCCCTCAGTGATTAGAAGATCACTTTAATGAGTCAAAGATGTATTACCATCTTACAAGGAATGCTCACCAGTTCTTTGTCAAAATGCCTCAATGAAGGCTGTGCTGTGCTAGGCAGCAGGCAGGTCCTGTTCAAGACAGCAGTTTGGTTCAATTATATTAGCAACAGAATACCAACCAAACTAGTACAAAAATTCGTGAAGCTATGATTTAACAAGTAGAAGTGGAGCTGATGAGTGCAGCATATTTTAATTAAGGAGGCAATGAAAATTCTCTGTAGCTTGTACTTTCAATAGATTAGTGTACAAGTTTGTGCAGATTAGATTCAGGTTTGTTCTCTTTTTTTCTTCCCAGGAAACTGTATGCATATGACCTAATAGATTTTTAAGCCATTAACATTTACCATGTGATGTCTCTCTGACTTTCTCAGAATAACATAATTCCATTCAATGACATGGATAGAACATAGAAGTTGATAAGCATCTGTTAGTTTGTGCTATCTGAGCCTTTGGCCCCAAATATCTAACTTTCAGCAACAGAGAAAAGCTCTAACATTGATAAGAGAAATGAAGAGACTATAATTCAAATATATATGAAAGCATATTGCACAAATTACATAATGTTGGGTTTAGTGTGCAAGTATAGCTACACAACATTCTATTTTTCATCCGAAATAAACCTACTGTCTATTTCCCATTTTGGCTTCTGCAGTAGTGATTACCCTAACTAAGAGCCGACAACCCCTGTCTCTCACTCATCAAATTCTTCTCAGTCTATTCGCTCCTTCCTATAATCTTTAGGCTCACAGCTGCACTCACCCCGGGTAAACCTCATGTATTAGTTTTAATTGTTAAGTTTTTCTTCTTCAAATTTATAATTTGTAGAGCTGAATTTTTTATTTATGTTTATATTTGCAGAGTGGAGGTTCAACTTGGGGTTTAGTTTTTGCGGTTTACGTCTTTCTCCAATGTCCATGAGTCTCTTCTGACACAGGTGAGCCTTTGTTTGCCATTTTGTTTTAATATTTCAATAGTGTGGTGTGGTGTTTTGGATCTTTCATTTGGTTTTTTTTCTGGCCTTGGTTGACTGTCTTAAATGGTAGTTTTCTTTTTTGTTCAGATTTTGTTTGATTGCTGAAGAAAATTTGGTGATCTTTTTTCACATTTGGTCATGATGATTATGAGGAGTTTATTTTTGTTGCAAATTGGATAGGGTAGACTTGAAAAAAGGTGGTTAGCCTTCCTTGCTAAATTTGGGTCGATGGTTTTTCTTTTTCTTCCTATTTAAAATGATAAAAGTCAGGCACATCCAAGAATAGAAAAAACAAGCAAGTAGGTTGAGAGTAGAATTGATCCCAGCGATGAATCCCATCGGAGTCGTCTACGTCACCTGTAGTCCTTTTCAAGCTTTTTTTCTTTTTTGATCGAATAGTGTCCTTTTCAAGCTTTGAATGCTTCACGTGCTTGCTTTGCCCACTTCCTATTATAGTAATATATTTAGGCTTAATTGTTACAGTTCCTCCGAAAACATTGGTTAAATTCCATATTGGCCCTGGACTTCATCACAAACTCTCTCCCACTTTTCTTTCTTCCTTTTCTTTTTTCTTTCTCTTTCTCTGGTTTGGTTTTCTTCTCTTGCATTAGTTTTCTCCTTCTCTCTCTTCTTGTAGATCTAAGTTTAGATCTGTGGGCTGTTGTATTTTTCCTTGCAAGTCTGAGATACTTGACACAAGTTCAGCAAGTTAGATTTGTTCTTCAAATCAATTGTTCAAAACTGCTCTAATATTTGTTCCTAATACAGTTTCTTTTATTATTTCAGATACATTTTTTTTATTACTTATGCTCTTTCTGTTTAATTTCATTTGAATTTTTCTTGACATTTCAGTTCTGTGTTATCTCAAAGAATTCAGTTCGACTTTTTAATCTTGGTTCTACTGTGCTACCAGGTGTCCACATCACTTCTTTCTATGTGTCAAAGGACAAAAAATTAAAAGAAACAAAACACCCTTTGATAATTGTCATTACTTATTATTTTTGTTTATACATCATTGGTTTGTTATGAATTTATTGTCACAATTTTTTGTGCTTCATAAATTTGGTCTATGGCAGTCTTAATATCTCTCCAGCACTTCTTGCGTTCCTCAATCGTTTCTCAGTTCATGCGGTAAATTTCACTCTCAAGGTAAATCTCCACAAACTTTTCATGAAATTTTCTTTTGAATCACCAATTCTTTTGTGATATTAGCCTCTTGGTTGCCCTCCACTTCACCTCTATTTTGCTCTTCTTTTACACCCTTTCTCTCTTTATTTTCATTTTTAATTTCTGGTGCGTAACTGAATCAATTAATTTTCTGTTATTATGTTGCTTTATGTTCTAGTTGTGATTTTCAGTTGTTTGCTTTCTGCTGATGATAAGCAAAGGCTGGGGGACCTGGCATGGCTGCTTTGACTGGCATTTGTCTAAAAAGTTGTTGGTAAACTGCAAAGAAAACAAAACCAATTGTAACTGATTGAACGGTTCTGTGAAGAAGAATTTACCCAATAATAAATAAAGTGGGTTGTCAAAGAGATGAATCCCATAATTCTAAATATAATATTTTGTTAACAAATCGAAAAGGGGGAAAATGCATCTTAGGTCCGGGATGGATCACACAGTAGTCCTTTTTAAGCTCAAAATCTTGGGGGTAGAATGTGAAATTCAAAATTAGCTGGGTGTGGTATGTCCGCCATTTGGGTAAGGCTCTGGGGTTCAGCTGGGTTTGCTCCCTAGTTCGAATCCCAGCAGTTGCAACACTTGGTGGCCAGCGGCAGACTCAATTCCGCGAGTGGGGATTAGTCGAGGTGCACGCAAGCTGGCCCGGACACCTCATAGTAATTACCTAAAAAAATAAATAAAAACCATATCAGTTATGAAATATATTAAACAAATTTTTAAACCAACTAATTTTAATATATTTAAACCAACTATTTTTTGTATATTAAGCCCAATCTCCTTTAAAAAACTAAAAGCCCAATATCTCGAAAATATATTAAGCCCGTCATTGGTCAAAATATATGAAGGCCCTGTTTGAGATTGCTTTTTTTCCCAAAAACCTTCTTCACTTTAAAGTTAAGCAGTTTAAGGTGTTTGATAAAAATAAAATATCCGATTATTTTAAAAGTAGTGGCCTTTTGACAGTAGCTTTTAAAAGCTGGGTTGCTTTTCAAAATTGCTTTTTAAAGAATCATAGATGAATCTTTAATGAATTTTTTTAATTCTCAAAATACTATCATTCATTTTGAAAAATGATATCACCTTCACTTCCACATCCAATTCCACTACTTGCACCACCACATTCATTACCTCCACAATCACTGCCACCGCCACCACCATCACCACCACAATCACCACCACCACAACCACCACCTCCAAAACCTCCACATCCACCACCACCACCATGATGCTGACATTGCCACTGCCACCACCACCACCACCACCTCCACAATCACCATCCCCACCACCACCACTACCAAAACCACCAACTCCATCTTCATCACCACCACTCCATCACCACCACTACCATCACATGATTAGTACATAACACTTTCAACATCATGTCTATTTTAGTCATTATTCACAGTTACAACAATTTTATATTTAGATTTACCAAACGATTTTGACACTGTTTTTTTGTACTAACTGCACTTTAAAAATACTGTTTACCAAACATGGAGCTACTTTACTTTACAACTAATTATTTTCAAAGCACATCATAAGTAATTTTTTTAAAAGTGACAGCAATTCCAAACTGGGCCTAAATCCCATGTCTTTTTGTAACACCCATGTGTCAAAGGACAAAAATTAAAAGAGACAAAACTCCCTTTGATAGTTGCCATTACTTATTACTTTTGTTCATACATCATTGGTTTGTAAAGAATTTATTATTGTCACAATTTTTTTTAATTCCATAAATTTGGTCTATGGCATTCTTAATGTCTCTCCAGCACTTCTAGCGTTCCTCAATCGTTTCTCAGTTCATGCAGTGAATTTCACTCTCAAGTTAAATTTCTACAAACTATACATGAAATTTTTTTCACATAAAAGGTTTACATGGATATGGCACACTCACTATAGAATTTTGCCAATGTAGAGTCGTGGGTAGGCCTACACTGAGGTAAGGTTTGGACCAGTTCTGGGTCCGATTATGAACTACAAAAACCGAACCGGCTTTTTTTCTATATATTAAGCCCAATCCCCTTCAAATATATTAAGCCCAACTTTAAGCCCAATCGCCTGCAAATATATTAAGTCCAATTTTAAGCCCAATCTCCTCCAAATATGTTAGCCCAATCGCCTTAACAAAGTTTTAAAGCCCAATGTGCTCAAAATATATTAAGCCCATCAATTATTAAATCACCCTAAACCCTAAACCTACCTCCCTCCCTCCCATCTAACCATACTAGTACTACCTCTCATCCCCTCCCCCTTTATAGGGACAGCACCTACTCCATCTCCCTCATCTTTTCTTCTTCCTTCCACTTCTCTCTCTCTCTCTCTCTCTCTCTCTCTCTCTCTCTCTCTCTCTCTCTCTCTCTCTCTCTCTCTCTCTCTCTCTCTCTCTCTCTCTCTCTCTCTCTCTCTCTCTCTCTCTCTCTCTCTCTCTCTCTCTCTCTCTCTCTCTCTCTCTCTCTCTCTCTCTCTCTCTCTCTCTCTCTCTCTCTCTCTCTCTCTCTCTCTCTCTCTCTCTCTCTCTCTCTCTCTCTCTCTCTCTCTCTCTCTCTCTCTCTCTCTCTCTCTCTCTCTCTCTCTCTCTCTCTCTCTCTCTCTCTCTCTCTCTCTCTCTCTCTCTCTCTCTCTCTCTCTCTCTCTCTCTCTCTCTCTCTCTCTCTCTCTCTCTCTCTCTCTCTCTCTCTCTCTCTCTCTCTCTCTCTCTCTCTCTCTCTCTCTCTCTCTCTCTCTCTCTCTCTCTCTCTCTCTCTCTCTCTCTCTCTCTCTCTCTCTCTCTCTCTCTCTCTCTCTCTCTCTCTCTCTCTCTCTCTCTCTCTCTCTATGTGGAGCTGCTACAGTTCTCTGCTACAGTTCTGAGTGCAAGAAATTGAAATCGGAGCATCTGAGAAAGGGACTGAGAGTCCTGCTGTGAGAGCAAATGAATTCTTGCTGGAGTGGCTGATTTTGATTGTTGTGATGCAGCCTGATTTACGGCCCCCATTGGGCTTGCTCATAGGTCCTCAATACTCTTAACTCGAATTCGAAGAAAACTAGTATTTTTCCCAACTGTAACCCAAGCTTGACGCACGCTTCACTATCCCAAACTTCTTTGTGCGAACTCAAAAATGGTTCAAGGAATGAAGAAGCCTGGCCAATCACAAACAATGGCCGCCATATTCAGTTAGCATCTTAACAATCTCACTTTTTTTAAAATTTATTATATTTCCAATAACTCAACTATTAAATAAATGAATCATTAAACAATGCAAACAAGGATATGTGAGATTTCATTCCTGTTTTCCAGTTTTTTGGATTTTAAAATTGAGATATTTAGTCATATACCCATTCTTACCACAAATGATATAGATAAACCCTACACCATTTAATTTCTATAAACAAACTCCAAAAAACCCAACAAATGACAGTTTGTTCTATTAAATTTAATTTTAATTATTAAACTATTCAGATGTCTTATTGAATGTTTTGGGTTTTTTTTTTATGAGGTTTTGGGTTGGCCTTGTTTTAAGAAATAGATAAATTTTTTGTATTTTATAAGAAGTTAAAAACCTCTTTTTTATCTTGTAAATGGGCTTTGAGTGCATTTTTAAAGTCTATTTCTATATTAGGTATAATAGTAAATCCCTCTTTTAAAATTTTGGTTGCAAGGCTGTGCCGGGCTAGGGTTTTTTTTTATGAGGTTTTGGGGTTGGCCTTGTTTTAAGAAATCGATAAATTTTTTGTATTTTATAAGAAGTTAAAAACCTCTTCGTTATCTTGAAAATGGGCTTTGAGTGCATTTTTAAAGTCTATTTCTATATTAGGTATAATAGTGAATCCCTCTTTTAAAATTTTGGTTGCAAGGCTGTGCCGCGCTAGCACTAGGCAAGTCTTGTTCAAGACAACAGTTTGGTTAAATTATATCAGAGCAAGAGAATACCAAACTAATAGAAAAATTTATGAGGCTACCATTTAAGCAGTAGCATTGGAATTGATGATTGCTAGGCAATGGGAATTCCCTGAAGCAAGCTTTCAATAAATTAGTGTACAAATTTGTTCAGATTATATTCAGGTTTGTTGTCTTTCCATTTCTTGAAAAACTATATGCGTATGGGTTAGATTTTTGAGCCATTGATGATACTCTTTATAATATATCCATCTTCATCAACCCACTGAAGCCCATAATAGGAAATCATTAGATTTTAATTTAAGCTTAAATGGTATAATGCTTTCTTTGTTCCGATTTTGTTTGATTGCTGAAGAAATTTGGAGATCTTTTTTCACATTTGATCATGATGATATGAAAAGGAGTTCATTTTTGGTGCCAATGGATTGGGTAGACTTCAAAACTTTTTTTTTTCCTTTTCCAAGACTTCCAAAACATTTTTTTTCCTTTTCCAGACTTCAAAACAGTAGTTAGCTTTTCTTTTCCTTCTTCCTATTTAAAATGATTAATTATGATTTTAGGAAGGTCAAAGTTACCTTTTGTGCGTGACTCCCACTTTGGTTAGGAATGTATAATTATTTCAAGGAATTGTATGTATATGAAGCCATTGTTATATCTTTAAAATGATTAATATTATGTAGCCAAATCAATAGTGGTTTGACATGTTACGACATCATATGTGATGTGAATCAACTTCATGAGGTCATGCTCTTAAAACCACTGTATATGTCAAGTAACATGTGATTTGCTGGTTTTGGTACCGCTTGGATTGGGTTCCTCTATTTTCTTAAATGCACATATGATTTGGATGCATATTATGAAGGGGTTTCTTCAGGAATTTATGGACATAAAATGAAGTTATTAGCTGATGAATAGTTAGATATGTTTAGAAACATGTAGAATTGGTGTTCAGCGAGCAAAAATTGAAGTTCCAAGAAAGCTTAATCACGCCTAAACAGAACTTAATAAAGATGTGAATTTGGTAGAAACAACCACTAGAAGATCTTGATTCACTCTTATGGAACGGTTTAGTTTTCAAGCAAACCACTTGTTTTGTTTGACAGGTTTAACTAAATTGGTGAACATGTTTGCATGTTTTAATTTTGTTTACTTATTAAATTATTATATTTTTAGTACTAATGTGATACGACATACCTTTACCTCAGACTAATGGGCAAAAAGAGGTCGAGAAACAAATCATCGACATGTGCCAATCCTCCACACACTGGTGTATCAGCACAAGAAGGGTCATCATCATCGGCACAGACAGCTGCTGCTTATGTGGCAAGTCCATCTGTGGCCAACACAACTGCTGCTCCAGCACCTGCACCACAATTTTACGCTGAACGTCGACGTAGCTTAAAAGAGTTCTTGGAGAATCCTTATAAATGGGATAAGGAGCAGTTCAAGCGAGGGTGTCAAATCATGCTTAGGTCAGTTGCATTTACCATTAACTTTTCTATTATATATGAAATTTTATTTTATTTTATTTAATGCTATTAACCTTAATTCCCTTTTTAGAAGTCTCATACGGGAAGTTTATCGGTTGGAGTCAAGAGGCATAACAAGTGGGCCCCTGAATGGTGAAAATATCTTTGTTATTGGCATTAAGGCTGAGAATCTGAAGGTTGAGATTTTGGTTACCCCACATGAATCCAACCGGAACAGGCCATGCTTTCGTCAACAATTTCTAACATTGGCATCAGAAGTGGTTCTTCCATGGAAAGCTACTCGTCCCACGGCATGGAAGCATTTTCTCGATATGATAAAAAAGCACATGCATCGGTAAGCAAGCTCCTGATAACTTATTTTATGCATCACAAGGCCAATTAACACACCCACAGATGAATAAATACAACCTAAAAAGAAATGCAGACCCAAATGGAGTTGTGTTTAGTTATGAGGATTGAGTATTATTTGGGTTCACCTAAAACATTATAGTTGGAAAGCCAATATTCATGTGTGGGCTTTTCTCATCTCTTACTCTCTTTCATTAAGTGCAGGTTCTATTTTAAGCAACTAGAGTGGCATACCCTACTATTATCATGTGGAGAAGAAGCCAAGTTTGTAACCCATGCCTATATACATCTTGAGATTGAGTGTAAAGGTTGGAAAAAGGATTACGAAAAGGTTATACCGAGAAGAAACGTTGACATTGGTAACACTGTTGGTACGGCCTTTGGTTTCTATGACGTCTACAAATGTCGAGCCAAATTTGGAGTCGAATACGAGCCAGATCCGCTAGGGGCACTCGTGTTTTACAGACATGCACACAAACATGTCAATGACTACATCGAAGAGAACCAAAAGAAGAATGGAGTGGTATACGCATGACCTAAAAGTGCTTTTTAGTTTATGTTAAACTACTCTAACGTTTATTATTGTTCAATTATTGCAGAAACCAGAGCTAATAAAAGATGCGCTTTTGGTATGAACATGACCTAAATTTCCTTTTTAGATTTTTTTAATGAAAGATGTTTTAGACTATTTTCTAAAACATGTTTGTATTCAATTTTTGCAGACACCAGAGCAAAAAGAGAATAAGCTCGCTCACTTCTTCCCAGAAGTGCCCCTAGAGTTATTCAATTACATGCTTATAAAGGGCATTGACATAAATGCTGCAATTTGAGAGAGAGCTCCAAATCTGGTAAACATATTATTTTGTATTCTCTGAATTCATACTCTAGATTCAATGCTCACAAACACATACAACAGAGCTTCAACATTTGGACCTGTAGACTGTTAGGAAATCTATCAGCTTAAGACTTTGTTTAGTTGAGCAGTGATGAGCACAAACTAATACAAGTTTTATCCTTAAATTTATATTTGTTAGTGCTTTTTTGTTTTATTTAAATCTATTAGAGTATTTGTATTCATTGTTTTTGTATTTAATGAGTGATTGTTTGTAGATAATGTCTGCCACCAATGTGTTGCAAGAAGGTAGAAGATAAGAAGAAAATGTGTGCAGCCAAATTCAAGGAAATCTGCTCAAGAGAAAGGAAAAGCATGGAGAGCAACCTATCTGAGGGATGGCAGAAATCCCCGTTGAGTCGAGTCCTCATCGGGTCCCCAACCCTAACGGGGGGAGTATTTGGGGCCAAATCGGGTACAAGTACGGGGGATACCCGAAACCATAAAATCCCCGACAAGTCCGGGCCGGGGATGGTAACGGCATCCCTGTCCTCGAATTTGTGCACTTGCGAGTTTATAAATTTTAGAAACACCTCTTTTGGTGACAACAAGTGGTCTACTGTAATTTGAGTACTGCATTTTTTTTTTTGGGTGAACTGGGGGGAAAAATTTGAGTACTGCTTTCATTTTCTAGTAACTTCTATCATTTTTAGTTTTGGGTGTTGAATTTCATATTGCGTTGCTCTATTTAAATTTTTTTTTCTGAGTGAAGTAGAGCATTACATCTCATTTATTGGTATATTCTATACTCACAAACCAGCTACAAATTAAGCCCAAGTAATTACTGTATTATTATCGTACCATGCAACTAATTAACACAGAATGATTTTGCTAAAATACTGTGTTATATATATCTATCTACATAGAACATTTTAACACGAAAATGGTTGACTTGGAACTTACCTAGCCAAAAGCCATTGTGGTGGTTGATTCCTTGTATCTGTAAGAAATTAAATGATGATAAACAAACAGGATGAATGAAAGCTTCCCTCTTTTCCTTCCCACCCTCTCCTGCAATGGCGGATCAAACATCTTTGTGTGCCAACCAATTAAAAAGTGTAAGTAAGCTGGTAGGTATGGAGCATATACACAAATAATTTTGGATACGTTGCCCCGACGCCTTCCTGCACAGAACGAAAGAAATCAGCAAGAAAATTATACTTTTGGTTCCTCTCATGAGTTAGTATAGGATGTATGAACCTGAGATTCAATCCAAGAGCACAGAAAAGATGAAACGATGATGAAATAGATCAACAAGAAGAAAAAAAAAACTAATGAAAGTAACAACTAAACTTGTATATGAACTAGAACAAAAGAAATCAGCAAGAAAATTCTACCTTCATACAGATACTTTTGGTTCCTCCCGAATGCAAGTTAGAAGATATCCTAAGGGGGGTTATCTTACTAATAAGTGTTTCAGTCGTGGGGTTGAGCTATGAATGTTTTATTCTATGCAAGTATTATTTAAAATTCCTGATATATTTTTCATTTTCACATAGCTCCTTGAGGTTTTGAAAATATTTCACATAACTCCTTCTCTTATTTGACCGTTAATTAAATGCTGACATCAGCCTAAAAAAGTTTGAAAAATGAAAATCGTCCTTGTACCGCAAAAAAAAAAGATTGAGACATCCCTCCCTCCTTTGTATCTAAGACACTAGAACTTCGTCCAAAAAATAGAAAGATTCACTATTATACCCAATATAGGAGTCCAAATTATAAAAAAAAAACTCTATATAAAATGAATTTTATAAACACACCTAAAGCTCATGTACAACATAACAAAGAGGTTTTTAACTTCTTTTACATTACAAAACTGTCATTGATTTCTTAAAACAAACCCAACCCCAAAACACTCCATAGGGCATCAAAGTAATTTAATAATTAAAATTAAATTCAATAGGACCAGCTGTCATTTTTTGAATTTTTTTGGGTTTGTTTATAGAAATTAAATAGTATAGGATTTATCTATATTATTAGTACTAAGAATGGGTGTATGACTAAATATCTCTAAAAAATACTTGTTATTCTTCTTATTTCTTTATCTTTTAACCGCCTCCTTTAAGTAAAGGATTTCACTTGCACCCCTGGACGTTAGGTATAATTACAATCAGACCCTAAAAATTTACAACAAAGTACGTTGGACATGACAAGCAATTTAACACCACGGTGTGTTATGGTAATTTTGATAATAAAGTTTATCCAGATCTAGGAAGGGTGTTCAAAGAGTAATGTTTTACCGATATGAGTTGGTCCAAGTGGAAGGGGCTTGGATCCTTTAAACAAGAGGTCCTGAGTTCGATCCCAAACACTTGCGAATAGAGCAGACTCTGTTGGGAGAGCTTTGCGCCTGACCATACCTTGAGAGATTTAGTCTCTGCAGTCACACAGGGTATAACCTGGGAAATAAAAAAAAGAGTAATGTTTTTGGTCAGAAAGACACAACTTTGAAGCTTTCAAAGGCTGTTTGAGTAAAATAAGTATAGTGCTAAACACGCGTAGTCTTTACCCAATAAAAAATAAGAAAGTAGGTTGAGAGTAGAGTTGCTGCCAGCGATGAATCCGATTCTTCTACATATAATATATATTTTTTTTTTTGGGTGAAGAGGACTTTGCATTAAGAAACAAACAGGCCAAGGCCGAACAAAGACATATAAATATTTTTTAGGTAAAGGTTCACGCACCTTGCTCGGACATCACATGGATGCTTTTTAGGTACAGGTACACCAAATACGTTGAATTATTATTGATCAGTTCACACGTAGGTGGGCCCCACATAATATACAGGGGGCTCTCAAAAGTCAGGCCAAAAGTCGTTGCAGCGATCGAAGACTTCACCAATACCCTCGGACAATGAGAAAATAAAAAAAAGGGTAAATTACTCAAATGGTCCTCAAATTTGTACGCGATTTATATTTTGAAGCCTCAATTAAATTATTCGTTCAAATGGTCCATCAACTCTATATTATTTGATCCGTCCTATCGTTACATTATGTCAATATTTTCGTTAAATATGAGGGCAAATTGATCATTATTTACCCTAAAATTTGGTTAAATCTGATAGAAAATTAGACAGTAGGACTAATGGAGCGATTAATATAGAGTTCATGGACCATTTGAAAGAATAATTTAATTGAGGCCCCAAAATGTAAATCGCGTACAAATTTGAAGACCATTTGAGTAATTTATCCTAAAAAAAATTCATACCTAATATGAAACGAAACTTGGCGTATTAAACTAAAGTGGGTATTATCGCAAAAACGAAAAATAAAAACTAAAAGAAAGAAAAAAAAAATAGAATATGAACATAGATAAATTGGGGCAAAGAAAGAGAGCGCAACATTGAATGTAGATAAAATATGAATGACAAAAGCATACTGTTGCACAACTCCCAATGCAAACTATTATTACAAAGAAAATTCAACAGACCAGTAGACAAGAGCTACATGTAAAGAATCCGACAATAATACAATCCAGCCGTCCCAATTAGAGAAAAAAGACCTATTTTATAATCTTATCTTTTTGATTTTGGTTGGAAGGTGGTCCCATGCATATTCCTTAGCACAAAGCTTGTTCAACGGACAAACCAAGGAAAAAAAAAATGCTTGTTCAAATGTGGAAATGTGAGCTGTTCTGATTCAACTTAAGTCCTCGGACCTCTTAGCTCTAGTTTGGTTAAGTTTAATGCGTAGGGTAATGAGCTCCTTAAATTAACTCTTTAGATAAATTTTAGAGAGAAATTTTATAAAGAATTTTTAAAATAGCTTTTTAATTAAATTTTAACTAAATAATAGAGAGCATGATTGTAGATGATTTTCGTATTTCTCTCAATC